AGGTGGAGGGGGTTGGGTGTAGTCCGATACACGCTCGCTCATCCGAAAAGGAGGAGAAACAGCCGAGAAATCACCAACTCAATCATGGGGGGTAAGTAGGCGGTACGCGGTTGGCGAAGTGACGGGATCGACTTCGCTTGCCGCGATGGCATCGGCTGACCCGTACCAGGACGAGAGCGAGGAGGTGTCTGATGAGCCATCCGCATCAATCACGCCAAAGGATGAGGTGAGCCTCTGGAGCGGTAGAGTCTAGGACGAGACCGATGATACCAACCGCTTGGCAACGTGCTTAACACTCGTGATGGCTATCCTGTCTGTCAGATCTTCATGCCGGCTGATCTCCGGCGGCGCATCGGGTCGGTGGAGGGCCATGTGGCGGCGTTCCAGGGCGCCTTCGAGCGCACCTTCAGAGGACTGGACACATCCCAATCCGAGTGGTGGGTGATGCTGACTGATCTCTCACCTATCATTCATGGATGTCTGCTGCCTGTTTTGTTTGTGCACTCATTCATTCTTCAGGGGCACATTCTCGGGCGGTTTGGTGAGTTTGGGTGTGGCGCTGACGCAGGTGCTGCGCACCATTCATCCCGACCTCGGCGGGTACACCATCCATCCCGTGGACCCCATGCCGCCCTCCCTACCGCCATACGAGCAGCCCACCACCACTGATGAAGGTCGGACAGACACAACAAAACAAACACATCTCACACGATTGGTCAGACATTCACTCATTCAATCATTCATTCATTCATCCATCTGTCCATCCATCCATGGGTGCGGTGCAGTTGTGCGTGTGCTCAACACGCTGCCGAGTGAGGAGCGTCTGAGTCAGTGCCAGAAGTGGCTGCGTGCCTTCAGGGAGCAGAACCCCAAGATCGACCTACAGAACGCCGCCAACTGTCAAAAACTTATGGTCCGTCCGCGAGGCAGCCAGCCAGGAAGACAGAAACATGAATGAATGAATCAGACCGACCACAGCACAGCACGTTGGGTATGTATGGATGTGTGGTGTTTGGGTTTGTCAATGATCAGAGCCACCTGGCGGGTTTCTCCCAGGTCTGCGACGAGCTCTCAAAGCGCGCCGACACACACGGTCGGTGAGCCAACGTCTAGAATACGGCACTGCCACAGAGGTATGTATGTGTGTGCATGACCTCGTGTACCTGCAGAGAAGCCCCCTGCCTACAAGAAGCCCCGTGTCACCAGGAGGATGGCGAGAGACCAGTCAGGTGAGAAGCTCAAAGCGCTCGCTGTCCTATCCACTCCCCCCTGAATCCTGTATTTGTGGATGCAGCCAACGAGGTCAAAGAGCGAAAGGAACTCACCTCTATGCTCACGAGCCTCCAAACCGGCAATGGTAACTGACTTCAGTCGGTGTGTATGTGTGCGGAAAGGGCACTGTGTGTGGTGCGCACGCCTGTGCAGGTTTGGGTCTCATGACAGAGAGCGACGAGGAGCGCGAGGAGGCCAGGGAGCGAAGGCGTAAGGCGGCAGCCGCCAGTCAGATGCATCGACCGCATGCCCACTCCGCTGCCCCTGATGCGCATGCACCACATCCGAGGCCATCATCCGCACTGCCTCACGGAGCCCCTCTGGCGCGCCCAGCAATGCAGTATCATCAGCATCAGCAGCAGCAGCAGCGTGCGGCGGCCCCTCATGGTTTGGCCCCTCGCCATCCTATGTATCTCCAGCACCAACACCCACACCGACAGCCACCGCATCAGCCGAGGCGGGGGTGATCTCAGCTGCAACGTGATGTGTGCGCTGACTAATGAGGACAATTCGCAGCCCAAGCGGCTCATCGAGCAAAGAGCAGCATGTGTGAGTAGCGGCTTACTCTGGAGCTTGCAGTCAATGGGCAAGGCATTCCCACTGAGACAATGACGAAGTTACATGGTGTGTATGTCGCCGGAACTCCGCATTCACCGGCCCAATGCTGTGTACATTGGTGTTTGTCTTTGTGGTGTGCGAGATGAATGTGTTCGTGTGATGACAATATTTCCTTTCCTTTCTTTCATTTGAAAATGTACATACAACACGAAGAAGGGAATCCACTCAGGGGCGGCGCTACGACAGAAAAAACCGACACAGAAAATCGATGCGACAAGAAACACTAGAGCAGAGCAGTCGGTGTTTATCAGACCCCAACAGTGGAATGAAATACATTGACTCATAGCGCAACGGCAGGCAGAGTCTGTCGGTCTCTCATGAACTGAACTGGGTCAATCGACCAACCCTCAATCATGCGACAAACATGCCAGCACCATCCTCAGCGCCCGCCTGGCGTATCTTCCAGCGGCGCCGCCCACCACGGACACACATACTCGCACTACGCGCCAACGCAACAGACAGACGAGCACGAAGCTACCCCATCACCTGGCTCAGACCCCAACAGTCACTCATCCCGAGACTCCCGTCTCTTCTCAGCGCAGTCAGTCGTTCTTCCAACTCTCCCAGCTTTCTCTGTGTACCCTCGAGCTCTCTCCGTGTATCGACAAACGCGCGGCCCACAGCATGTATGAAACAAGCGCGAAAGGAGCGCGGGAGTTCAGAACACAAAAACGATGGCATACCCGAGCCCCCCTCTAACTACCGAGCAAGCTCCACACACGATAACCCCAGCGTCTATCGGCCAAACCAGAGCGCACTTCCATATAATTGGTTGGTTCGATGAGCGCACTTCCATATAATTGGTTGGTTCGATGTTGCCCTCCATCTGCGTCGCCCTCATCTGATTGATCAAAACGCCAATGACAAAGGAGCAGCAAAGATTCATGCCCACTCACGTACGGACGAGCGAGGCTACCTACATAGGTGCCAACCTACGCACCCACCTTGGCAGGGCTGTGTTCGGCTCATGGAGCAACAAGATCATGTAATCGAGTATCTGCTGCGGGTGGCCCTCTTTGTCCTGATCGAAGTACTTGAGATGCACCAGTGTCTCGGTCTCTTCGTCATATCTGTATAGATAAGAGCCTTTCTGTAAATCCCATGGTCTCCTGTCCTTGTTCTGTCGTCACTTGTAGAAGTTCCATTGCTGGAGAGTATCGACGGTGCAGCCGTATCGGAGCCTCTGCTGCTTCAGTCTGCTGCGCAGCCCCTGCTTCACCGAGCCTTCCCTCGAGCCGCCAACAAACACCCACAGCTGCCGCCAGTACTCACGACCTAGTTGTGTGTATACAGGGGGGGAATATACGGACAGACAGACAGAAGACAAACCAGCAGCCATTCAGTCTGTGCATGTACCCATCCCCACACACGTCTACGGACGGACCTAGTTCACATGGGCGGCCCACTCCATCCTTGCAAACTTGGAAGGAGAAAGAGATGTCTTCACGGCCTTGATCGAAGGCATACACGCTGATGCGCCACTTTGACTGTGTGATCATCTCCTGTAGCAAAGGCCACACATAGTATGTGAGCGTCAGGACGTTCTGGTGCCGCTTGTCAACCTGCAGAGAACTTCATACACATACACATACGGACAGACAGACAGAACAGGGAAGAAACATGTACATCCATCTATGGAACACGTACTCTCGTGCAGTGGTGTGTGGCGAGCGAGAAGTGCGTACTTGTAGGCAATTTTGTCTACGACTGAAGACTGCCACTCCAAGAATGCCGGCGAGAGGGTGATCTTGCGCAGCGGGGGCAGCCCCACCTCATTTTCATAGTCGCCGGGCTCGTAGTATCCACCCGCAGTGCTGCTCCTCGAATGAAGGCCGGCTGGGCGGCCGACCGGCAGACAGGCAGGCAGGGAAGGGGGCCGAGAAGGGGAGGAAGAGAACACATGCACGCACTTACTCATGCGCACTCGCCCTCTTGCATTTCCATACCTCGGGGTGCATCGTCACTTGTATCGGGGAAGAGAGAAGAGAACAAGAAGGAAGAAGAAGAAGACAACACAGCGTCACCCCTACCTCATTCTCTTCGCCCCTGGGAAAACTGCCCACAAAGGCCACCACGGTGGCAGTGAGTCGGTGGGCAGAGCATGCAGCTGGCGGTGGGGAGGGGAGCTGCCGAGACGAGGGTCAGTGGGCGCCAGGAAAGCCGCGGGAGAGGCCGGCCGCCGGCGTTTGCCATCGACGCAGACAGCGGAGGCGACGCACGCGACGCATGCGACCAAGAGAGAGAGCGCCAGCATGGGACTGATGGACACAACAATATGCAGGCAAGAATGAGTGTGAGGATATGAGGCAACACGTGCAGCATCAAATCAATACTCACCTCTCTGAAAGAGATCTGAACGACCGGTCGGCAATTGTCGATGGCAGTTGTTGTCACCTCGTCCGGAGGAGTGACGCTGACGAGAAGTAAGGGGGAGGAGTGACGCGGGCGGAGTGGTGGTTGGTTGGTTACATGTAGTGTGTTTAACGAGACTCGTGTCTGTAACCCCGGAGGGATCCTGTTGTCTCACGCACTAAACTACAGTAAGTATCGCATAAAGCAATCAGTACCGGGGTGATTGCTGTCAGGATTGCCAGCTTGGCAAGACGAACCACTGCGAGCTTGTGAGCTAGGGTATATTGCTGTGTAACGGGTGGAGAGATGAGAAGACAAGGAAAGACAAGGAAAGCATTCTGAGGAGACACGATCTTATCAGCCATCACCGAAGTGAGATCTGTGTTGACCACCCTTTATGATGCCA